GTGTGTGTGTGTGTGTGTGTGTGTGTGTGTGTGTGTGTGTGTGTGTGTGTGTGTGTGTCATATGTTTCAAAAAAATTATATATATTGAAAAATAAAAGTAAATGTATATATAATGCACACTGCTTCACCAGGGAGCTGTTCACATGACATACAAAACGTGAATAAGATATATGGGGCTAGATCTTCAGCTGGTGTAAATGGGTGTAGCTCCACAGAAGTCCAGGGAACCATGCCCAGTAACTCCAGCCCAGAATTTGGAAAGAAAACAAACAAAACCACAAACTGATGGGCTCAATGCTGCTCCCAAAGTCGGTAGTGAAACTTGCATTGACTTCAATGGGTGCAGGATAGGGCCCACCATGGTGATGGGCAAGCAGCAAAGATTTGATCAAATACAGAAGCCTGGTATTGTGCTCTGGAGCTTGCAAGCTAGGGGTGGAATCCTGGCCCCACTGAAGTCAATGGCAAAACTCCCACCAACTCAAATGGGGCCAGAATCTCACCTGGGACTCTGGGGGACTGTCAGAGGGAGTCTGTTCCAGAGGCAGGACGCCTCTACTAACAGTGCTCTCCTGCCAGTTCCGAAGATTTTACCATAAGGAACTGACAGCAAAGAGAGCAGGCAGAGGAGAACCCGGGTGAGATTCGGTGCTGCGTCTTTAAGGGGCTCAGCACTGAACTTGCAGCCCAGTGGAAGTGACACTAAAGCCTTGTCTGTCTACACTACAAAGTTGTGTCGACAAAACAGTGGATGCGTACACACTGCAATGCGACTTTTGAAAGCAAAAATGCCCAGTTTTGGTGACAAAACAAAACGACCCCTGCTCCACAGCCAGGTAAACAACCATCTGCCCCTCTCCCTTCGCAGGCCCAGGAATTTCTGAAATTCCATTTCCTGCTGGCTCGACGTGGAGATGTCTCATCGAATCTTCCCATGTGACTACGGCAGATTATAGCAGCAAACGCTCTCCCGCTTGGACCACTGCAGAGCTGCTCAGTATATGGGGAGAGGAGGCTGTGCAGTCCCAGCTGCGCTTGAGCCATAGGAATTTTGATACCTAAGACAGATTTCTCAAGGCTTGTGTGAAAAGGACTATGGTCGGGACGCTGCAGTGCAGAGCAAAGATAAAGGAGCTGAGGCAGGCGTATCACAAGGTGAGGGAGGCAAACGGTCTCTCCGGTGCTGCACCTAAGACCTGCTGGTTCTATAAAAAGCTAGACGCTATCCTCGGTGGCGACCCCACCTCCATCGCCAAGAGCCCCGTGGATACTTTGGCGGGCCTGGAGGCAGCGGAAAGAGAACTAAACCCGGAGGACAAAGTTATTGAAGAAGAGATGGAGTTAGACGATGATGTGGAGCTCCCAGCGGAACTGTTCTCCACTCCAGGAGGTGTCTAGCCAGTCTCAGCAGTTGCTCTCCGGCTAGCAAGAAGCAGGAGATGAGACTCCTGGTACGTGGCTGTGGCTTTTGTAGTGCGGAGGTGGGGCATAGAAATGTGGGAGGCTGTCTGTGTTTCTGTGTGCTGGGACATTTCCCTGTGTAGCTAATCGGTACAGCGGAACAGAGTGTTGATGCACACCGAGATCTCATGGGAATCCTGCAGAGACCTCCAGGAAAGTTCCCTGGAGGTACTCGCTCGTCCTCTGCCGAAGGTTCCTTGGCAGAGCAGCTTTGTTCCTTCCCCCACTGTAGGAAACTTTCCCACGCCATTCGGCGATCACTTGTGCAGGGACCAAAGCGGCACAGAGGCGAGCAGCATAGGGAGCAAGAAGCAGGAGAGGAAAAGTGGCTGTGGTTTGTGTAGTGCGGGGGTGGGTTCAGGATATAGAAATGTGGGAAGCTGTCTGTGTTTCTGTGTGCTGGACATTTCCCTGTGTAGCTAATCAGTACAGCGGAACAGGGTGCTGACACATGCCAAGATCTCACGGGAATCCTCCAGAGAGATCTCCAGGAAAGTTTCCTGCAGGTACTCGGTAATCCTCTGCCGAAGGTTCCTTGGCAGAGCAGCTTTGTTCCTTCCCCCATTGTAGGAAACTTTCCTGTGTCATCTTTAATTTATTTCCTACAAATTGAGATAGCAGGCACTACCAATACATACACAGGCAGTTTAATCATTTGCTTACTGGAATGTAAGGCCCCAAATGTCACCACTGCTTCCTAGGAAAACTACATGTAATGTAACATAGCAGCACCAATCACCGAGATATACATTACTGGTTCTCATTTTCAAAGTGTTGCCTCAAAGCCTCCCTGATTCGAAGTGGCCCCATTCTGGGCTCCTCTGATAGCCCTGGTCTCTGGCTGCTCAAAATCAACAGCCAAGCAGTCTGACGCAGCACTCCACCACTGAGCAAACCTTTCACCCTTAGCTTCACAAACATTACATACAACATGAGGCTATGACCATGGGTATATTGCCCTCATTGAGGTCTAACGTGCCATAAAGGCATCACCAGCAGCCCTTTAATCTGCCAAAAGGCACATTCCACTATCAACCGGCACCTACTCAGCCTGTTGTTGAACTGCTCCTTACTGCTATCCAGGTTTCCTGTGTAAGGTTTCATGAGCCACAGCTATAAGAGGTATGTCGGGTCTCCCAGGATCACTATGGGGATATCAACATCCTCCACTGGTCCGGAAAGAAAGTCCCTGCTTGTAGCTTCCGATACAGGCTGGTGTTTCTGAAGATGCGTATGTCATGCACCTTCCCAGACCAGCCCATGTTGATGTCAATGAAACGCCCCTGGTGATCCACAAGCGCCTGAAACACCATGGAGAAGCACCCCTTCCTATTGATGTACTCTGTTCCAAGATGGTCTGGTGCCAAATTGGAATGTGTGTGCCATCTATCACCCCTTCACATTTCTACAAAGCCATCCACTATTTCATGCACATTTCCCAGAGTGATGGTCCTTTGTAGCATGATGCGATTAACTGTCCTGCACACTTGCATTAGTGTAGCCCCAATGGTCGACTTCCTGATTCCAAATTGATTCACGACCAACCAGTAGCAGTCTGGAGTCGCCATCTTCCACACAGCAATTGCCACATGCTTCTCTACCGATATGGCAGCGCTCATTCTGGTGTCCTTGTGCCACAGTGCTGGGACGAGCTCCCCACACAGTTCCAAGAAGGTGGCTTTCCGCATCCAAAAATTCTGTAGCCACTGCTGGTCATCCTACACCTGCAGGACAATACGATCCCACCATTCAGTGCTTGTTTTCCAAGCCCAAAAGCAACGGTCTACCCTCTGCAACTGTTCTGTGAATGCAATAAGCAATCTAAAGTTGCTCCTATCCAGACCACACAGCATGTCAGGCAAGTCAGGGAGTCTTCTGCAGTTAGGAACTTGGTGATTAACTGCATTGCCATCTACGATGTGTTCATGACAGAGCACAGGAGAGCAGTGAGGGATCCATCCCTTCTCACAAAGATACCGGGGTGCACAGCAAAGGGCCACTGAAAAATGCTGGGACAGAAAGCAATGCATCACGGGACACTGGGCCTGGTCCCAAGATATGCCGTGATCCACTCCGCCTTCCCACAAGACCTAGCAGCAGCAGATGTCGAGCTAGACTGTGGGATAGGTATCCACAGTGCACTGCTCAGACTGCTGATGCTAGGACCCCAAGTGTGGACACGCTCTGCTGCCAGAGGGAGGGAGTGTGAACATGCAATACCAATTTTTATTATAGCACTTTTTGAGTGTCGATATAACTTTTGTCAACAAAACTTTGTAGTGTAGACAAGGCCTAAAGCCCCTTAAAGCCACCTTGTGCTCTCCCAATCCTGGGATATTCTGTGGCTGGAGATGCCCCAGTGTAATTTAGATAGCCCTGGAGGCCTAAGTTACAGCAACCTCCCTGGGCTACCCCATGGGGCCCAGCACTGCCCAGAAATTCTTCAGTGCTGTGGCCCTGTCCCCGACACATCCCTCTCATCCCCACAGCATGTGAGGGAAGCCTCTGAGGATGACCTTACACAGCTGTCTTCTACAGGGCCTGTACTAGGGACTGGGGCTTTTAGGGTCCCTTTATGCCACTTTGACCCAATTACCAGGCGTACAGAGGCTAAAGTGAGGGGGATGATCTTATCCCTGTCAATGAGACAGATGGCTCAGGAGGGATTACAGAACAAACATAAGACAGATGTTAGCCACATTGGTAATGCACTACTAAAAAATGCTTCAGACACTACAGTGACAAGCACAACATAAGAACCTACGCAGAATAGAACAGAACATGAGGTGATTTTTCAGATAACTGGGTCATAGATCATTAAGGGCTCGATCCAACGTCCACTGAATTAAGTGAAACGGCTACCACTGACTGACCCTGGCTTTAGATCAGGTTCTTGGGGTTTACATTTTCATAGGCCAACATATAAAAAAAGCTAGGTTACCTGATTTCCATCAATAGTGTAGCCATGTTTAAGTGCAAAGATTTTGGCCATTGATACAGCCATGGAAAAGCCAACAATTGCTATTGCTAATGCGTCTACAAACACTGCTGGGATGAGATTTATATCAGGTACTTTTGGAGCAAGTAATCTAGAAGATGAAATGATAAAAGAGTTACTATAACAATATTGAAAAAGAGTATAGCCTGAATAAGGATATGCTTCATTCACTGTCCTTACCCTTTAGGGATCTCCCCAACAATATCCACTTCATACGTGTTGGACAGATTCATTCCAGCTGAAACTCCAGTAGCTATTATTACCTAAAAACACACATATAAACTTGTTTAGAAGGAATACAGATTATTTAGGTGCATGCACACATTTGAAAAAACAGGCCGAAAAGAGAGTGTGCACAATCTGAGGGGAAAACATCGGTTAGAACCAATGCTAAGAATGGACATTAAGTGGATGTGATGGAAATTATTAGTCCATTAGCTTCCCAAGGTTCACACAACCCAGGAGAAAAAGGAAGTCTCCTCCTCCACCCCACATCCTCTTCGTTAAGCTACTCTGTCTTTACACAGAATTGAAGTGGGGCATCTGGAAGTACAGTCTCACATCTCTCAGTCAGACTGTCACTGCTTACCCAAACCCTGGACATTGGTCATGAACCCTGATATGCTAAAGAAAAAAAATATCCAAGGAGACACCAACAAGATGCATACTAATACTAGCACTTGTCATACAACTCAAAGCACCTTCTAAAAGGTAGCTAAGCAGTATTACCCCCATTTTACAAATAGGGACTGCAAAGTTAAACACAAGACTGTCCCTGAGATGTGAAACAACCTAATGAAAGAACGTGGCTGGAACCAGTCCCATATGGGATTATCAGTCAAAAAGGGCAAGGCCTGATGGGTCCTCTTCCATAAAATGGATTTATTTCAGTGCTTTGGTACTGATGGAAATGGTGTTTTGAACCATTAATGTTGAACATCATGTTTTTTCGTAAGTCAAGACAGTAAGGGTGTGACCGGATCCCCAGGGTGCAGCCTGGAACTGTGGGACTGCTGTGCCCCCTTAACTCTCCAGCCTGGGCTGTCTCTCACAATGCTTTGCTAGTGCCAAGCAGCAAACCCCTCCAGGCGCTGTTAGCACAACCGCATGTGGAGCCCCACACCCAGCTATGGTGCATGAATGCTCCCAGAGCCACTCATGAATCACACAGAGAAAGGCACCAGCCAAATCCCCACAGCTCTAAGCCTTGTACCTCAGGAATATACAGTCTTGCACTGCTCAAGACGAGCAGTTATTAATTAGTTCACCACTTCATCAACGGAAAGTGGATATACACCAGCCTTTGTAAACCTGAGCAGATTTACCAAACACTTCAGGCAAACTCACTGGCAAAGATAAACAGTAAAACAAGTTTACTGATTACAAAAGACAGATTAAGGGATTATAAGTATTAGGCAAAAAGTCAGAGTGGTTACCAAAATAAAATAAAATATAAGCACGCAGTCTAAATTCTCAACTCTATTAGACTGGACAACATATAGGGCTTGTCCACACTGGCACTTTACAGTGCTGCAACTTTCTCGCTCAGGGGTGTGAAAAAATAGCCCCCTGAGCGCAGCAAGTTTCAGCGCTGTAAAGCGCCAGTGTAGATAGTGCACCACTGCTGGTAGCTATGCCCCTCGTGGAGGTGGTTTTTTTAGAGTGCTGGAAGAGCTTAAGCAGTTTCTCACCCCACTGAATATTGCAGTTCATAGTACACAGGTTTCACCCTTGAAACCGGGGCCAGTCTCCTCTGTTGGAGTCTTCAGTCTTCTGAGCGTTCTTGTTGTTTGCAGCATAAGTGGGGGGGAGGAGAAAAGGCCAAGCATGTGGCCCATGTTCTGTTTTATACCCTTAGTTCATGTGCTTGGAGAACAAGTCCAGACACGTCTGGTGGGCATGGCTGAGTCACAAAGTGAAGCAATACCCCAGTGTGTCTCCTGTGAGTGAGTCGTTGAATTGTAACTCCTCCGCTGGACAATGACTGGTGATATCTATTCAGCACCCACCCGGGTGTTGGTTACCTCCCTTGTCATTGTGTCTGGAGAGCTAGTATCTGGGCGCTTCCCAAACACACAGCATATTTTAGTGAGAACCATACAACACAATTCTTATCATTTTATATGATACACATATTTAGATGGAACAATGACTTTCAGCAGACCATAACCTTTCCCATGATACCTCAACATGGCATGCTTTATATGCAAGATCACAATTATATGTAAATGAGGAATATGGGGACTACAGGGCGCTCCCACAAGATATAGAATGTCACAGAGAGTACCTGTATAAAATACACAAATTATTATAACATTGAAGTCAAGGTCAAATCCAAGACTTCATTGCAAATCTACGTGGTCAACATTACCCTTCCGATGACAGTCTAACGTTCAACTCCTACTAACTCTAGGAAGAGTTTGTTCTGTATTGTTAAGACATTGCTGCCTTCGGAATCCCGAGAGACACCTTTATGCAAGAGTCTTAGAGGATTTTAATAGGTATTAACTCAATAAAGTACTATAGAAATTACTCTCAATTAGGGCTGTCGATTAATAGCAGTTAACTCAAAAAAATTAATCGTGATTAATCACAGGTTTAATCACACTGTTAAACAATAGAATACCAACTTAAATTGATTAAATATTTTGGATTTTTTCTATATTTTCAAATATATGGATTTCAATTACAACACAGAGTACGAAGTGTACAGTGCTCACTTTATATTATTTTTATTACAAATAGTTGCTCTGTAAAAATGATAAGCAAAAGAAATAGTATTTTTCAATTCACCTCATACAAGTACCATGATGCAATCTCTTTATCATGAAAGCACAACTTACAAATGTAGATTTTTTTTTGTTACATAACTGCACTCAAAAACAAAACAATGTAAAACTTTAGAGCCTCCAAGTCCCCTCAGTCCTAATTCTTGTTCAGCCAATCGCTCAGACAAAAACAAGTCTGTTTACATTTGCAGGAGATAATGCTGCCCACATCTTATTTACAATGTCACAGGAAAGCGAGAACAGACGTTCGCATGGGACTTTTGTAGCCGGCATTGCAAGGTATTTACATGCCAGATATGCTAAACATTTGTATGCCCCTTCATGCTTTGGCCACCATTCCAGAGGACATGCTTCCATGCGTTAATTAAATTTGTGACAGAACTCCTTGGGGAAAGAATTGTATGTCTGCTGCTCTGTATTTTACCCGCATTCTGCCATATATTTCATGTTATAGCAGTCTCAGATGATGACCCAGCATGTTGTTCGTTTTAAGAACACTTTCACTGCAGATTTGACAAAATGCAAAGAAGGTACCAAGGTCAGATTTCTAAAGATAGCTACAGCCCTCAACCCAAGATTTAAGAATCTGAAGTGCCTTCCAAAATCAGAGGGACGGGGTGTGGAGCATGCTTTCAGAAGTCTTAAAAGAGCAACACTCCGATGCGGAAATTACAGAACCCGAAACATCAAAAAAGAAAATTAATCTTCTGCTGGTGACATCTGACTCAGATGATGAAAATTAACGTGTTGGTCTGCACGGTTTTGGATCATTATCGAGCAGAACCCATCATCAGCATGAACACATGTCCTTTGGAATGGTGGTTGAAGCATGAAGGGACATATGAATCTTTAGCACATCTGGCACATAAATATCTTGCAACACTGGCTACAACAGTGCCAGGCGAACACCTTTTCCCTCTTTCAGGTGACACTGTAAACAAGAAGCGGGCAGCATTATCTCCTGCAAATGTAAACAAACTTGTTTGTCTGAGCGATTGGCTAAACAAGAAGTAGGACTGAGTGGACTTGTAGGCTCGAATATTTACATTGTTTTGTTTTTGAATGCAGTTATTTTTTGTACATATTTCTACATTTGTAAATTCAACTTCCATGATAAAGAGATTGCACTTCAGTACTTGTATTAAGTGAATTGAAAAATACGATTTATTTTTACAGTGCAAATATTTATAATAAATATAAAGTGAGCACTGTACACTTTGTATTCTATGTTGTAACTGAAATCAACATATTTGAAAATGTGGAAAACATCCAAAAATATTTATATAAATAGTATTCTATTATTAACAGCGCAATTAATCAAGATTAATTTTGTTAATTGCTTGACAGCCCCACTCTCAATACCATAGGATTTAATAAAGAATGAAAATCTTTTCTATAGGCTTTTGAGAACCATTCTATAGAATGTATAGCAGGGATATACGTCACTATTAAATTTTACAGGACCTTTTCATGTATGCTTCACAGGTGAAATATTGTGTGTACATTCACAAAATATATAACTATTCACAACTGACTTACCACAATGATCTCCATAGGAATAGGAACTGGCAGTTTCTTCTTAAACCGGTCATTAATTTCTTTGCCACTCAGCAGCAAAACAATGCATGTTAATCCAACAACTAAGGTTGCAATGTTGGTTTTTGTGATATTTGAAAGTACAGCAATTAAACTCTGCAACATAATAAAACTCTGTTATTCCATGATGATTTTATTTGTCCAAAGATATTTGTATTCAGTTGCTTAGTAGTCTCTGCCCAGTAAGCCAAGATGTGTTGCTATCTGGGTTTTTGCTTATTTCCAGAGTATGAAAGCACCTCACAAACGGTAGGAGGAAATACATAGGATCTCCTCCACCTAGATTATTTTTTATTTCTAACAGTAAATATCTGAGTAAGGGGAGTACGTTATTAGAGCAATTGCTGGTCCAAAAAACACAGGACAAATTAAGCTGCTTTTGTGGCATTAATGTACATCTTTTTATGGCCAAAAGATGCAATACCTGAGTTTGTCCAGAACCGGACAAGAAATTTGAACAAAAGGCTTTATCAGAGGGCAAAATAAGGCTAAACACCTAGTTAAACCATACTCCAATAGCCTCAAGCAGTCTTTAGCAAGTCAAATCTGTTTAAAGCCATATAAACAGTTTTAAAGCTACTGGACAGAACCAGTGAGGGTACCGTGGCAATGGATTCTTTTTGGCTGGGTGACAGTGATCTTCCAAAACTGCTGTTGAACTGACCAAAAAGCTAAAAGATCTTAAAGTTAAAAACATCTTAAAAGGAAACATTGCCCTGTAACATTAATAGAAGCGGTTACAAAAAGAAACCCACAAGGAACACAAATCCCAAGCCTTGCTGCAGGCAGCCACATAATTATAAAAGGGGATACACTGTGAAGGTTACACAGTGTGCTTGGAAAATATTATCCTTTTTCCTCCTAACTGCTTCAAGTGCTAACTCCCCCCGGGCTTTTTGATAGGTCGCCTAAGCATCAAAGCTAAAAAATTATCAGTGTCGCACCCCCTGTTTCTGGGAGGCTGGTTACATTTACACAAATAGATGATTAAATCTCTCTTAGGTTTTCTATAGCTCATTATACCATTGTAGCTTTTAAGTGCTGCAACTTTTCTACTGGTGTGTCATCAACCAGTCCAAAGGATTGGGTCTCCTAAGAGATCATAGGCCTCCAATATTCCTCTGCTCAGACTTCCTTGCTCTGGTCTTAAAGGCAGATACTGAATTACAGCAAAATCTGGTTTTCCAAACTAGTGGGAGAGATAGATTTTAATATATTTCAACTACCTGCCTGTTTATGAGAACAGACAAAGGGGCAACACAATGTGCAACATGCACACAGAAACACAGCTGATAATGGGACATGCTCATTTAGACTTGCAATTTATAACTCAGTGCACATAATATCTGATTTTTCAAAGTTCAACTGTGTCTGTTTTTCAGAACCATGCACAATGGCTTAGCATACATTTAAAGTTACAATAATTAAATCAGAGCTTCTGAATATTTTCTAAACTGTAGTGCTGTGTCAGAGACATGTGGAGATTGGAGAAGCTGATTATGATATATTGTATATGGGTAGTACAAAATGGGAAATGACTGCCTAGAAAGGAGTACTGCAGAAAGGAATCTGGGGGTCACATGCCTTTAAGATGGTTACTTACATATAGAACTGAAAGGGCTCCACTGTAGCGTTTTGTCTTGATTCCAAGCAGATACTTTAATTGGGAGGTAAAGACATGAACTGCCGCGGCCGTAGTGAACCCTCGTACCAGTGGCTCCGTTAGATAGATGGCTACAAAACCAAACCGAAGGAGACCTAAAGACAACTATTGAAGAACAACAGGGTCAAATTATGCAACTCACCAGTGCACTCAATTGTAACGTAAAACTCAGCACTGTAGAGAATACAGAGCAGACCAGATTCCTGCCAACCCTGACATTAAGCAAACCGGAGACAGTCCAAGCAAATCTAGGCTTCCCCTCAAAACCAATTCTACTTCCCCCTTTCTGCAGGAATGAAGTTTCAGTGAGCAACATTCTCACTGACCCAGGCCAGTCTGAGAGGGTTCAGTGCCATCAATGCTAGGACGGAGTCGGGGTATAGGTGTCACACACATAGACCTGATATCCTATGGTTTATGGAGGGCTTTAAAGAAATAGTGAAAAAGAGGTTTCCTGTCAGACCAGACGTAGTAGTGATGGAGGAGGAAAAGGATCTCTCTGATGTGCCTCAGCCAAAGCTGAGATGTCAGGAGAAATGGCTTGCTTCCAAGTTCTCCCTTAATCTTAGGTACATAGATAGCATGACGAAGCTCATATCCCCCAGAACTGTGTTGGGACATGAGCACTAGCATTTTACTGTGGGGTCTGGGCAGCTTCAATAACCTGGGACCCCCTACCACTGCAAGTTTGAGAGAACTGCCCGAACTTGCCCTGCAGCAAGCTATAAACATGTTACCTGTATGATCCCTGAAAGCAAGGTGACGGCCACAGCTACCTTTACCCTCATAGCATCTCTGGCTTTATAGTTTTCAAGGAGATCAGTGCTATTGGTGGAATTAGATTCCATAATATTAAACATTTCATCAGGAGCTTCTCTGACAGCAACTCCACCAATCATCAGACTAATCACCGCAAACGTCCCTGAAATAAAAGAGGAAAAATAGATGCAAATTCTGCATGTCATTTAGTACAAACTTTTACCTGCTTGTTACTAGAGTTCCTTATACAATGGATTATCTCATGTTTGTACACTTTTGTGGAATTAAACATTTATCTCCAAACTATTTTAGAGTTTTCAATCAACAAAGTTGCATTTTTAGTAGTGAAATTTGCCCTTATATTCAAGGCCAATATAGTGGTTTATACATTGAATAAACACTCCTGTGGCAGGTAAATATAATTATTTTACAGATGCAGCGAAATTAAATAAATTTGTCTAAGACCACGTAGCTATTTGCAGCAAAGCTGGAGTTCCTGGTGCTCATGCTCATGCCCACTCCACTAGCTGCTGTTGCTTTTATTCCTTCTTAAATATATTAGATAAGATGACAGCAAACACAACCTGCTGGCATTTGAGACTATGAAAAGTACCTAAGAATTTCAAGTTTATTATTTTACTTCATTAATCAGAAAGTTTGTCCTATTTATTCATTTTTACAAAGTATTATTTGAAAAGAAAACACTTCAGTTGTACATAAAGAAAGATACCTATTGATATGTGTCTGGAGGTCCCAAAAAAGGTATATAGAAAAACAGGATAAAATGAAGAATATAGGCCAAATACCGGGGGAACAGCAGCCAGCAAAGCGTAGGCTAACCCTAGAAAATACAATCAGAGAGAAAGGAAGCCATGTTAGGAAAAAACGGAAAGGGTCTGTTTCAAGATAAAAACCACATCATCCCCTTAATGATATAAAAACTATTAAATACATGTAGCAAACATTTCATGTCACATGTCCAAAGAGACATGAGAAAAGAATGTTCTTCAACTGCACATGTAAATTTAGGGCCTGATCCTGCAACCCAGAGTGATCCCACTGAGGAAACAAGAAGCTTGCAATGACAGGCTTTGGGGGGGGGGGTGCATGTATTTTTTAATGGACCATGTCTTCAATCATCTCTTCCCAAGAAGCTTCGTAGAATAATAAAAGACAAAAAAGACTAGGACTTAACTGCTGAAGCATCCCACATTTGCTTTTCTTCCTTTGCCAAATGTGTGTGCCAGTCTTTACTGATTTACACTCAAACAACCACACTGGGATCACTGGTGTTGCATACTGGTGCAAGTCAACACAAACTTGGCTCAAATGTAAAATACAAGGGAAGGACCAAGCTGTAATCTCTTGACTTTTACTTCAGTTCGTTTACTAGTGGAAGTGATAAAGAACAGAAGCTTCTGTTCGTAAAGGAAAAGATCTGGAGTGGTTCCCAGGAGCACTTGCAAATACCAAGAGAAAGAATCACATTTAAAAAAAAAAAGGAAGCCACAAAATGAAGAGCAAAGTTCACTGCTGCTCACCTATAAATCATGTGGCAATGACTACTATGAGATAAGGCTGCTGCAGTTTGTGTTTCCAACACATAACAGACATGTAATAACTTTGGCTACAATATCTAAATGCTTTGTCCAGCTAGTGTCTCATTTAAAGTATTTTGAACATTTATCATTAAATGTAAGTAAAACTAGAGATTTTTATTTGATATGCTAAAAATAAAAATAAGAAGGCTGCACCCAATATCAAAATCCTTAAACTGAGAAATGCACAAAACCAATAGACTGCACACCCAGAAAAGGAATAAAAGCCTCTCTGACAGGCTAGGGTTTGAACCTTCTATTACTTAGAAGTGATGACACCTGTAAAAGCCTCAGACACAGCTGACTCTTTTTACTCGTTCCTAGATTTGTCTCTATTCAAAGAGGAGAGTGTGATCTGGCAGTGTGATCTCAAACCAAACCAAAGATAAGGGAACTCACTTACACTTGCTAATAATAGTGGTTGTAATAGCAGTAGTAGTACTGAAGGAGTGCCCAAAGCTCCAACCAGAATCAGGGTCCCATGGGGCTGGGCTCTATACACACACACACAAAAAGCTGTGCCTACACTAGACTTTCTTGGGAAGCCTCCCACTGCAGCAATCCCATTGGTGGCAGCAATGACCTGCATACTAGCATAGACAGTAAGTTAGTATTTTTACTTCTAAGTAGGTCTGAAAGACCTGGTGGTAAAATGCTAGTGGCCACCTGAGTCTAGGCTACATGAGTGTTCCCACTGGTGCTGAAGTACCAGTGCTAGTGTAACAGCAAATATGGATCCCTTCCAAAACACACCTTCTACTAGAGTGGACAAGACATCGTTCCTGCCCTGAAGACTTTACTCCACTTTCCTGCAAGTGGAGTAAGACTTCCAAGTTGTTTCAGTGCATTTCAATGGATTTTCACTCCTATCGTCAAGCTTCTCTCCACTAGTCTCCATGAAACACAGGAATCACCGCCGACTACTCTGCACTGACTGAGCAGGGAAGAAAAGGAGACACCACCATGTCATGAAGGAAAAGATAAGGACCAATCTCTGGCTCCTGATCTTGCTGAAGTTGCTCCAAGCAGCGGAGTCAAGCCAATCTTCCACCCCTCTGGCATTCCAGAGATGCTCTAGCTGCCAGTGACCTACACAAGTGAAGTGGAGAAGTGTAGACCTGCCACTACTCTTGGGATGAATAGGTGAGGAGGGAGTAATAATTAAGGTCTTTTATCAACATGGTATTTAAGTAGATGCCTACTTTTAAGGCAAGTGAGTAGTTTCACTGACTTCAACAGGACTATCACATGCTGACATACTTTGCAAATATTTCATAATGGGCTCTTCAATCTACAGAGAAAAGTCCTCAATCCAATGGCTGGAAGCTTAAGGTAGACAAATTCAGACTGGAAAAGCAGTGTAAACTTTTAATTCTGAGGGTAATTAACCACTGAAACAATTCACCAAGGGTTTGTGGTGGATTCCCATCACTGGCAATTTTAAAATCAAGTCTGGTTGTTCTTCTAAGAAGATCTGCTCTAGAAATTATCCTGGGGAAGGTCTCTGGACTGTGCTACACAGGAGATCTGACTAGATGATCACAGTGGTCTCTTCCGGCCTGGGAAACTGTGAATTGGGGCCAAGTTCTTTGGGCTGGGTGCTCAGAGGGGAGGATTTCACTTGTTACCACTGGCTAACAAGATGTACAGCAGCACTTTAAATGACAGCCTTTTCAACTGGTTTTCAGCATGTTGTGAAGCACTACCACACACTCATCCAGGAGATCACTGCCACAACAAGACACACATGATGGTCTAAGAAAGATAATAAAATTACACACAGTTCTACTCACCTTGAGGAAGCTGCATAACCCCAGTGCTTATACCTGAGACTATGTCTCCTAACAAATATGCCTTCACTGGATAACGGGGCAGCCATTTTAAAATTGGTAAAAAACTGTAGAGATGAGACTTTGCTTTCTTGGAAGAACAACTGAAAATACAAAAAGGAAAAGAAGCGAGATCATAGCAGAGGGAAATTAAAAAGATTATAAAGCCCATCCCCTTGCTATCAATTTCTTGCAGACCATTGTTTTTGGTTTGCTTGTTTGTTTTGAGAGAGAGAGAGAGAAAATAAATGACCAGGTGTGCAGATTAACTAAGGAAGAATTCATAAGGTACTAGCAGATATAAAACCCATACCGACAAGAATGTGCTATCTTCTGGCTAAGAGGCTGAGGTGTCTTTTCCTTCTTGTGCAGCTGTCCTTGTAAGAACTCTTCGTTATATACCGGTCTCTCCACCCAGTACATCTGGGTTTGCACAAGGCACTCTTCATGTTCTTGAACATGTTCCATAGTACATTTCAATTATCAGGAACGGCAGAACCACTCCAAAGTCTCTACAAAAAAAACCCTAGACACACACAAAGATACAGTTTAGCTCATTATTGTTATTTCTTAAACATCTAGTTCGGGGTTTCCTTCCAAGAAGCTTTAAGGACCTCAGTTTGACTACTACGATACTACAGTGATGAGTGCGGTGACAAATGCATTGATCAGACAGCTTGTATAGCAGCTGTAAAATCACAGTTGTGGTCTTTATTACACAGAAGTGAATATTTCTACATTTCTCTTTCAGGTAAAAATCTCCAGCATCAATTATTTTGCAAGTATGGAAATTCAAATTTAACACTGAGGGTTAAATTCACTTTCATCTATTCTTCCCCTTTCCCTCACCACAGTCTTTCTAAAGAGGACTGCAACAGTTTAGGGAGATGTGTTATTTCTGAGTTACTTCCTGCTACCTCTCCTTATAAAGGGTCACTGTTAATAGGACCAGGAGCTGAAACTCAAATACAAATACAGACTCCCCTTTAAAAATTCAGAAATTCACTTCTCTTTACTCCAAGCAGTCTGTCACTTGATTGCCTCCTTCCCCTAAAAATTTGCATGCTCTTATTTAAGCTATGACAAAACTATCTCTCAGTCAAGTAGGGGATGGAAGTAGGCACAATCCCCATTACCTTCAAAAGGCTAGTCTCCCAATGCCTGTGCCAGGTGTTATTTATTCCCAATCTTGTGCTCACTGAAATCAATGGGAGTTAATTTTGAATGACAAAAAGTGTCTACAACCAGCTAAAAATACCTGACTTCCAAGTTTCTTAACACCTTACAGGCATACAGTGCTCATCCTCTCTGTTGCTCTGCATAGCTTGTTTGTGCAAATATGGGTAAAAAGAAATTTTCCACTCATTTATGAGCAATGAGACAGGGCCATTAAACTATTAAGTAAATAGGACCTGGTTAATGTAAAACATGTCAGATTGCAGAAAGGGAACTTGGATGGACAGGATAAAGCCAAAAAAAAGCAGCATTTTTTTATATTGACTTTTAAAAGTAAACAGTATGCATCTGCTTCACCTTAGTAACCTGAAAGTTGAAGAGATAGGATAGCACTGATTGCCATGAATGATGCAATGTTATAACATGTTAAGGTTAGATTCCCTGATCTGGCCAAGCTGTACCATGGGGGTGGGGAAAGGGTGGTTCTGAGCTGCCCTGGTCTCAGGGTTACCAGAGACCAGCATAGGCCCTGGTGCAAGTTAGGCCCCAAAGAGCTAGTCCAGCAAATAGGGATGAGCTGGATACATTTGTTTCAGGATTGCCCTTCGGTTGGGCCATGCGCCCCAGACATCAGTGACCAGAACAGACAGTAGTGTAGGAGTTGCTATGGAAACCTCATGTGGGCACAAATTTTAGATTACAATTGGGCATTTCTTTTCTTATATGTCTAATGTTTTAGGGTGAATGTATTTTAACTGTACAAACTAAGGCCCCAGTCTCGTCTCCCCCCCCCCCCCATACACGCTTAGCTTTCTCCACACCAGTACTCCCACTGGCTTCAATGGGACTTCTCATACATGTAGAATGACACATGCGACTAATTATTTGCAGGATCAAGGCCTAAGACTGTCAGCAAAAGAATCCACTGTTGAGGTACAGACAGATACATCATTAGAGAGAGTCACAGAGAGGGAGAAGGAATAATCATCTTAGTCATAAAATTACCTTCCTTCCTCACCAATTCCCCTGCTGAGGCACTTGATACAAACCACAAAAGAATATACTGGTTGTTATTGTACTTTATAAACCACTCTCTTTAAATTCAAAGAGATCCCAACCACAGAAAAGATACACCAGAGGTGGAGAGAGAAAGACTGATAGCAATGCACAGGGAATTGTAACCATCACCAAGTACTAATCGAGGAAGATTATGAGTCACAGCTCATTACGGATGGTGGCCAGGTCCTAAAGAAGATACATTGTTTATGACAATCTAAGGGCTGGACTCGCATCGCATTTACATTAGCGCAAGTCTGGAGCAACTCCATTGACATAAAGGATGTAAAAAAGTTTATATTTTACTTTAGTTCTGACTAAATCAGGAGAAAAAACTAATTAAAGTGACATTTTGTCTGCATCTTTATTAATATTAACTTTTTTATAGCACGGAAACTGATTTACAACCTAATAAGCTAGGCTCAAAGACTGCTAGTGACACTCATGTATAAAGTGCTGTTCATTCATGCAGAAGACTTAGACCCCAAGAGGACATGTTACAATTACTTCCCTTGCCACTGAAATGTGAATATATATGCTATATACTGAAGAGCAGGTTCAAACCCTAAGAAGCAAGTACACTGACAATGATGGGACATGGAACAAATCTGTTCAATTCCAGCCTAAAATATTCAAACGTGGATATAGAATCTCATTTAGTGTATAATCCAAAGCCCACTAGAGTGAGTGGAAAGGTACCCACTGACTTCAGTGAACTTTGGATCAGGCTCTTAGTCCCCAATACAGCAAAGTATTTAAGCACATGCTTATCTTTAAGCATAAGAGTAGTCCCACTGGAAGTCAATGAATCTAATGATCACATGCTTAAAGTTAAATTGTACTTAAATGTTTTGCTGGATCAGGGCATAAATGCATAGACATTAAACAATTTACCAGCCACACACACACACACACACACACACACACAAAGCTAAAAAGGATTTGATTCACTGAATACATGTTCAAACAGGATTTAACTATCCAGCATACACAAGCTCCATGGTTGTCTCCAAAGTTAACAGTTTTGAGTGCTAAGCAATGCTTAACGTAATTGGGAGTGGAGTCCCTTAAACCGGTGGTTCTCAACCTTTCCAGACTACTGTACCTCTGTTTTGTCTTGTGTACTCCAAGTTTCACCTCATTTAAAAACTACTTTCTTACAAAATCGGACAAAAATATACAAAATTGTCAGCACACTATTACTGAAAAATTGTTTACTTTCTCATTTTTAACCCTATAATTATAAAATAAATCAACTGGAATATAAATATTTCACAGACATTAGTGTATAGAGCAGTATAAACAAGTAATTGTATGAAATTGTAGTTTGTACTGACTTCACTAGCGCTTTTTATGTAAGCTCTTGTAAAACTAGGCAAATATCTAGATGAGTTGATGTATCCCTGGGGGGAGGAAGGGAAGGAATCTTTGAGATTTTGTGGGTCTATACTATACACAATGAAGGGCTGCTCTCAGATAATCTGTGCTTAACAAAGATTGAATTACTGAGCAATAAGAGTACTAGCAGTATTTCTTATCAGCCAGATAAGCTGGGGTAATTGGCAGGCTACATGCAGGAGACTTAAGAGGTAGTGGTTCTTTATCTGACAGATAAAGGCCAGCTCTGGAGGCTATTATTAACCTGAAGGTGTCAGAAAAAGTGGGACTCTTGCCACATTAACACCATGTGGTGACAATGTTCTAAGGCTATGTCTACACTGCATACCTTAAAGCGGCACGCTGCTACAGCCGCACAGTTGTAAGGCACACAGTGTAGCCGCTCTTTATTGCCAGGAGAGAGTTCTCCTGGGGACAAAATAAAACTACCTCAAATGAGGGATGGTAGCTTCGTCGCTGGAAGTGTGGCTCCTGCCGACAAAGCACTGTCCAGACTGGCGCCTTCGTTGTCAAAACTTTTGTCGTTCAGGGGGGTATTTTTTCCACACCCCTGAGCTACAATAGTTTTAATGACAAAAGTGCCAATGTAGACAAAGCTTAAGTCAGCGACTCTCAACCATTCCAGACTACTGTACCCCTTGCAAGGATCTGATTTGTCTTGTGTACCCCCAAGTTTCACCGCACTTAAAAACTACTTGCTTACAAAATCAGACAAAAATATAAAAGGATCAAAGCACACCATTTCGGAAACATTGATTTATTTTATAATTATACGGTAAAAATGAATAAGCAATCTGAATATAAATATTGTACTTACATTTCAGTGTATAGTATATAGAGCAGTATAAACAAGTCATTGTATGAAATTGTAGTTTGTACTGACTTTGCTAGTGCTTTTTTATGTAGCCTTTATAGAGTTGATGTACCCCCTGGAAGACTTCTGTGTACCACCCTGGGTATGCTCTAAGTGCTCCATCAGGAAGCTTCAAACAATCTACATTGGCTTCTGGAAACTGCATTACAGACCAAATCCTGGTCTGGTTGAAGTCCGTGAAAAAACTCCCATTGATTTCACTGGACCTGGATTTGGCCTTGTGTGAATGTTTTTAACTGTACGGATATATTGGATGGCCATGAGTGGTGGAGCAGCTCATCCCCCTTAGCCAAAACACAGCACACAATGAAGAGTAACAGAGGTAGAAGTGTGAAATTATGTAGATTTCAGATATTTAATAGGTATACTTTAAAAAAAAAAAAACAGTCTCACAATAGGACAGTTTTGTTTCTTTAAACTGCACATTCTGTGACCATCCAGTGGCACTGCTGGATTAGCCAACCTAAGAGCAGCTCCCCTACAGAAGCTGCTCCTCTACAAGTCTTCACAGACCTTTTGACTGCGTTAAACACAGCAAACATATTAACTCTACCAACATAATATGCCTTCTTATCTCCAAACATAGCCTTACAATACAGGTAGGTTTAATGTGTTACACTAAATATACAGGATTGCTTTTCTGTTGGACGAATCCAAGTTAAACTCGGACTGCAGCCCTTTGAAGTGTTATCTTTTAGTTTTTGGGGTGATGGTCATGGCTATTAACCTATGGACTAGAGCAGTGCTCTCCAAACTTTTTTGATCACACACTCCTATGAGTAAAAATTTTTTGAGCACGCACCCCCTGCCGCACCGGCTCTACCTCAGACTTCCGCCCAAACTGCCGAAGCAAAATAAATAAATAAATAAATAAAAAGCTGCTTGGGTGAAGCAAAAAATAAATAAATAAAGCGCTCCTCCTGCCGCGCACCCCAAGGATCCTCTTGCGCACCCCACTTTGGAGACCACTGGACTAGAGGAAACATGCTGTAGCTCAAGACAACAAATGCCCCATGCATCCA